GATTCACTTATATAAGCCAAAATGAGCAAGAAGAAACAAGATTCCGTTATTATTCAGTTATCAATTATTTCAAGTTCGTTGTAGAAGGAGCGAGAGAGTCAATGATCCACGTGTCAGACTGATGTAACTCGTGGTAACGTCCTCAAACCCTTCTCTGGTTTTAAGAATTAAAGTAGTTTCTTGGTTTCTTTTCGATTTTTGGAAATTTCCATTTTTCGTTGTAGGGTGGTAGCTACGCTGAGTATTTTGTATGTTTGAGTGCTGCAGGATTGATTTGGTAATTCTTTGGGGTCTATCCATTGCCATAGACCATAGATACCATGGGTCACAACTATGGCCAGCTTCAGGATCTTTGTTTACTTTATTAATCATATATGGCAGCTTTCAGGGTCTTTATGTATTCTGAGTTTCTTATGCTGTTTGTTTCTGCAGTGGTTAGGTAGTTTTTGCAGACGATATCTAAGAATGAAGCGGTGGCTCCTCCGCTTAGAGTTGTTCAGGTCAAAGGACTGGTAATGTTCTCATACTCTTCTCTGGTTTCGAGTTTCTCCTCGTTTTATGCTTACATTGGAGTTTGCTATGGTGTGATTAGTCAATTGGAATTTTCCATTTTCATTGGTGTGATTAGTAGTGATGGTGCGAATTTTGTATGTTTTTATGTTGATAGGCTGTGCTAAAGATTATCAAACATTACAAAGAGTTTGCACCGACTCTTGTCACATTACAGCTTCTTGGACTTGATGTTGGTAGTTTACTTGAAGTTACCAATTGTTTTCCTTTCCCAATAAGTTTTGAAGAATTTACATACTTTGTAAGAATGTTAGAACTTGTTTTCTCTAATTGATGTACATGTGAGCTACTGTAATATGTTTCTTCAATGAGTATAGGTCAGAGATGACGATGAAGAAATTGAAGCTGATGGTGCCAATTATCAGCTTGAAATGATGAGATGTCTTAGGGATGTTAATGTTGATAACATCACTGTTGGGTGGTAGGTGTTTATGCCATCCAGTCTGATTTCACTAAGTTAATTATTCTTTTGTGAATGTGTGTAACATCTGCTTAAATTTTTGTCTAGGTATCAATCTACAGTTCTTGGTTCCTATCAGACTGTATAACTGATCGAGACCTTCATGAATTACCAGGTAATTTCCTGACTTATGTCCATCATGTATTTGTAACACTCTAGATCCTGGTTTTTG